AATGACTTCTGGTTCAAGAACCGACGAACGTTTTTGACGTCATTGATTTGTTTCAGTCAATTTCTATTTGTTAAAAAAGAAAGGCAAAAAGTACGAACCCTCGTGAAACAATGTTTATGTATAAACACATCTCATAAACTATAGAAGTCAAGCTTCATGTTGTTATTTTCTAATGAGAATAATATAAAACTATGGTAATATGAGCTTCTAACCTTCCTCTTTAAATGCAGAAAGTTTCAAATTTTTTCCTTTACTAGTTTTCCAGAAAAATTGTGAAATGTATGAGACTGTATTTATTCTCAATTAATTCAGTTATTGTTAGTTGATTTTCAATATTTTGCATGTTGTTTTTTTCCACTGAAAAAATTCAAAATTTTGGAAAAATTAGCTCCTAACTTTCCTTTTCACATGCAAAAAGTTTCACAATTTTTCCTCTATTGGTTTTCCAGAAAAACTTTGTAATATGTAAGACTGTATTTTCAAATAATTGAGTTATTTTAAGTTAATTTTCAAGATTTCTCATGTTGTTATTTTCCACTGGAAAAATTTATAAATTTTGGAAAAATGAGCTCCTACCCTTCCTCTTTACATGCAAAAAGTTTAAAATTTTTCCCTTTATCAGTCTTCCGGGAAAACTTTGAAATGTGTGAAACTGTATTTTTAATTAATTTAGTTTTTGTAAGCTGATTTCCAAGATTCTTCATGTTGTTATTTTTCACTGGAAAATATTTCAAATTTTGGGAAAATGAACCTCTTATCTTCCTCTTCACTAGTTTTCCAGGAAAACTTTGAATTGTGTGAGACTGTCTTCCAATTAATTCAGTTTTTGTAGGCTGATTTGCAAGATTCGTCATGTTGTTATTTTCCACTGGAAAAATTTGAAATTTTGGGAAAATGAGCACCTTACCTTCCTCTTCACATGCAAAAAGTTTCAAATTTTTACCTTTACTAGTTTTCCAGGAAAATTTTGAATTGTGTGAGACTGTCTTTCAAATAATTCAGTTTTTGTAGGCTGTGTTCCAAGATTCGCCATGTTGTTATTTACCAATGGAAAAATTTGAAATTTTGGGAAAATGCACATGCAAAAAGTTTCAAATTTTTCCCTTCACTAGTTTTCCAGGAAAAATTTGAAATGTGTGAGACTGTATTTTCAAATAATTCAGTTTTTGTTGGCTGATTTCCAAAATTCTTCATGTTGTTATTTTCCACTAGAAAAAATTGAAATTATGGGAAAATTATCTCCTAACCTTCCTCTTTACATCCAAAAAATTTCAACATTTTACCTCAATTAGTTTTCCAGGAGAACTTTGAAATGTGTGAAATTGTATTTTTGATTAATTCACTTTTTCTAAGTTGATTTCCAAGATTTTTCATGTTGTTATTTTCCCCTGGAAAAATTTGAAATTTTGGGAAAATGAGCTCCTAACCTTCCTCTTCACATGCAAAAAGTTTTAATTTTACCCTCAATTAGTTTTCCAAGAAAACTTTGAATTGTGTGAGACTCTATTTTCCAAGGGAATTAAACCACCTAGGAATTCTTTGCCAAATATGTGGGGAATTGAGGTATAGGGAATTCGAAGAAATTTATAAGAAATTTGGAGGAATTTGTGAGAAAATTATGAGGAATTTCAAGGAAATTGTAGGGTCATGACGTCATTGAGATTCAAATTCTTATTATAAGAAGCACTAATAATTGGAATTTTTTTAAAAAATCTAGTTTTGGACGTTGGACATTCATTTTTATTAAAGAAATTCTCCCAAAATTTCAGTTCATGATTTACATGTCCAAATTTAAAAGAATAATTACCTAGTTTAATATTTATGTTAATGCTCGAAAATTTTAACAACTGTCAAGGAAAAACCTTCTGGAATTGGATCCACTTAGACTGGAATGGATTTGAATGCTACATTCAAGATACTTTTCATATTGGGGCCAAATTAGAAAATCTCCTATTGAGAAAAACATTATTGGTCATTAGAGAATGGAGATTACATAATTTCAGTATGTAGATCATTTTAATAAGATAATTGGAAAACACCGAGGAAGACACGAGGGAAAACATAATAAAAGTGAACATTTATTAGTTAGTTCTGACATTGTTCCAGAAGATAGAATGAACTTTTTCAAAAAAAGTACAAAATTTCCTTAAAAATGACCCTGAGTGCAAAGGAACTTCAAGCTACTTGAAGTTGATATGAGTTTAAATGTATTTGGATTCGAATATGTATCCTAGCATCATATATGGAAACAAGGCTGAACGTTGAAAAAATGGTTTACTTATTTCCAAATTATTGAAAAGGGAATGAGACATTCGTTTGGCCTACTTAGGCAGATTCAATTTATTGTTTATGGTCCTTTTAGGAAAAGGTCAATTTATAATACAAAGAAATAATATACCCTCAATATTGTGGAACAATATACATAACTACCAAGTTATTTTAAAAGTAACTACATGTAGGTATATTATACTTGGTATTTATACAGTACTATATTTGTTTTTGTTTTACCCTGTATTCTAGATTACCGGAAACCAATCATTAGTTTTAGCTCTAAAGTCAACTAACCTAACCTTGCATTTAATCCTATACTTGATAAACTGCTCTTATGTTTTAACACTAAGGGCCGGTTTATTCACCTTCTGATAAACCGTCAGCTAATCCAATCTGACGGATAAAATGCAATTTGTAATCCCATCGGTTGGCCAGTTATTCCTTGAAAAATAGGATTATGAAATGGATAAACTTATCTTTTAGATATTTACCAGCAAGCTTGCTAGCAAGTTTATCTGAAGATGAATAAACCAAGCCTAAGCAAAATAAAAATTTCAAAAAATAAACTTATCACGAGCAATTATGAGGATTTTCAGCTACAAACACTAAAATACTTATGTTTTATCCTGTCTTTAAATTTTAAGTTGTTTTCTGGAAATATAATGTATTTTCTACCTTTATAAACAACGTCTTGCTTCACCTATCCCTTGAAATTCAGGTTCGTACAATATTAATAAAAAATTTTGCTGTAAAATATTGAATTATGGTCAAGCGGTCATAGAAAAATATAATTCCCAACTGTTTTCACAAACAGTTTCACGGTCACTCCAAACTTTGCAAAATCATTTATTGGGGTTTCAAATATAGAATCGAGTATAGAATTTCATCAGGTACAATTTAATTAGAGAAAATACCATTTCTAATCCATTTGATGCCCTCTAGATTGACAATTGGAGAGTAAAACAGTTGAAGGTCTACTTTCAAAGAGTGACAAACTGGATCCATCAGCCAACTTTTGTTACCACCATGTACTTTACATATTTCAGCAAAGCAAAAAAAATGATCATTTCTAGAAATATACAGTGAATATTGTAGAGATGTTCGGAAATTTTGGGGAGAAATTAGATAAAAATCTCTCAGAAATTTTGAAAATTATCAATTTTCAAAAGTTTCATAAATTATTTAGGAAATTTTAGGAAATACTTTAATATTCAGGAAATTCCCGAAATTATGGGCAATATCAGAAAAAACATTTGCAAAAAGGAAATAGGTGTACAAAATTCAACAGCGTGAGACACCACTCGGTGATGACTGTTTCTCTCTCTCGCTTGGCTGAAGTCGATTCAAGCCGACTGTACCTGAATGAGCGTTACATGGCCGAGCGTGACGACGCAGTTCAGTGCTCACAAAAAAGTGTGCTGAATACGACTAAATAGGTTTTCCCTTGATCAAAAATATTTCTTGAAGTTCCAATATAATGACTAAACTTTCGAAAATCAAACAGTTTCATTAAACATTTATTTTGGTCGACTTGTCTGATGTAATCTTCTAATGTAATAAAAAACGTTCCAGTTTTTTCGAAAAAGTTTAATTATATTTTGAAACTTAACTTGCTCTTTGAAAAGGGACTATAACAAATCTAAAATCTATGTAGCTTATGAAGCAAGAACAAGAAATAGCAAGAGTCTTGCAGCAAGAACAAGAAATAGGCTTGCAAGAAATTTGACAAGACAAGAAATAGCCGAGCAAGACAAGATTTCTTGCGACCTGCAACACTACTTAATACTGCAACTGCTTATATTTACTGAGATTATTGTCAATGAAAGATTTTGAATAAAAAATCCAAAGGGGTTTGAGCCTGAAAAATCAAAATTTTTACTTTTTCAATTTTTGTAAAATAAGACTTTCCTAATCGAAAGAGTATAAAATTAATCAGAGAGAATGGAAGCTCATTCAAGTAAAATTTTGAATTGATTCAGTAAAAAACATCAACACGAAAAATTCTTGAAAATCAACTTCCAGAAACTAAATTTTACAAAAAACACTCTCGCATATTTCATTATTTTTCTGGAAAACTGTTGCAGAAATAATTTTGAAATTTTCTGGATAAAAAGAGGAAAAAATGGAAGCTCATTTAAGGGAAATTTCAAATTGATTCAGTAAAAAACATCAACACGAAAAATTCTTGAAAATCAACTTCCAGAAACTAGATTTTGCAAAAAAACACTCTTACATATTTCCTTATTTTTCTGGAAAACTGTTGCAGGAATAATTTTGAAATTTTCTGGATAAAAAGAAGAAGAATGGAAGCTTATTTGAGTGAAATTTCAGATTGATTCAGTAAAAAACATCAACACGGAAAATTCTTGAAAATCAACTTCCAGAAACTAGATTTTGCAAAAAAACACTCTTACATATTTCCTTATTTTTCTGGAAAACTATTGCAGGAATAATTTTGAAATTTTCTGGATAAAAAGAGGAAGAAATGAAGCTCATTTAGGGGAAATTTCAAATTGATTCAGTAAAAAACATCAACACGAAAAATTTTTCAAAATCAACCAAAAACCAGATTTTACTCTTACATATTTAATTTTGATTAAGAATATATAAATATGCATTCAATTTAGGTCATTGCCAAAAACATAATATTAGCCACTGACCATTTATGGTAACAAAACTCACCTTGTATTTTTATTTTTCGGTAGGTATTTTTGCATGACGAACGAAAAATGTCGACCCTAGAAAGAAAAGAGTACCACGAAACAAGGATGATGCGTAGCAGATCACCAACGAGAAGATCCAACCAGAATTTGGCCCAATTTGATTCAAATTTAGGTAAAATTAATAATCACAAAATGTATTTTACTAATAAAACTTCCTAGATAATCTATTGGAAGACTTACAAAACTCAGTTTCACGCCCAGGAAGTTCTCTGAGCCACAACTTCAAAGAAACCGGTTATGGAAAAAGCATCAATGTCAAAGCTTCCAATCCAGTTACAGAATATTCTTCAGATGACGCCTACAATTACACATCTCCCGATGGAAGAGAAAAGGTGCACGGATATAAAAAGGAAAAATACATTTATGGTAAAACTACCATGGAAAGAGATGTTGAGCCTGAAAGGGCAAGGATGCAAAATAGCATCAACCAATTAGATTCACTTTTGGATGATTTGCAACAAGTGAAAAAATCATCTTATTCATCAGGTAATAATTTAAATGAGTATTTTTACATAGTAGGTAAATTATTGTTTTCTATAATATAGAATCTTCTCAAAGAAACGTTAACAGAGAACTCCGTTATGGAAACACGCCACCCTCTACTAAAACCATAGAGAAAAGCCTCTACAACGAAGGCACTTATGGAGCAATCCGCTCAACATCCCCAACCCCTTCGTCCAAAACCTCCACCCTCAACAAACAAACAAAAGTCCTAAACGTCCACGAATACCCGATAAGAGTAGTCGAAACTCCAGTTCCTGACATCGATCCGGAAGTTTTGGCTCATCTGGATCCCAATCTACATCCAGCTGGTAACACCAAAGTTACTACAACAATTAAAACCTACACGTACGAGATTCCCGGGTCTGGGAATTATCCTACGCAAGTGAGAGAGGATACCAGTGTCAATGAGCAGTATTTGGATAAAAGGGAGAAGAAGTACGTTTATAATCCTGATGAGACTATTACGACGCCTAGTAAAAGTTTCGTTTATAATAAGGTAAGAGTTTCTGGAAATTTCCAGAATTTATTGTAGAATATTTGAAGTGGAAGTAAAATCAGATCAATTTTTAGGATTTATTGTAGCAATAACATTAATGAATATAGTAGTGTGTTTCCTGCTCCAATTTACCCAAAAACTTATGATGTATTTTTTGTGACAAGCTTGAGAAAAGTGTAGACCTTTTTAGTGCAAGCTTTGACCAAAGTCCAACTTTGAAGCTCAATAACTCAATAACTGTTTGAGTTATTGATATCAAATTTAGCTCAATTTATAGAGAATTTAATGCTCTTTCTAACGATATATGGTTGTTATTAATTTGCTCAAAAATAATCGAAGATATAAGCAATTATTCAGGAGCATGTCAAGATTAAAATTAGAGCCAAAAATAAGCAAGATAGTTTCTCAGAGTAATGATATTTTCTGGAAATTTCCAGAGATTATAATAGGATCCTTTATGCTACTATATTTCTAATATCTTTAGTGATGTAATCTATACTTAGGTACTCTATTTCTGAACTTTTGTCTTTAATTTCCTCAATTATTTTCACTCTTTTATTTTATACATGTGCAGTAACTGTTATCAGGCAAAATCCTTCTTCCATAGACTGTAGATTTTCAATTCTTTATAAAATAATTTGTTTTTCCCATATAGACAGAAAATAAAGAAAATTACTACCAACAACAACAACAACAACACCAACAACCAGGCTGGAAAGATTCCCTAGTAAAACAATCCTACAAAGAAACAATCCAAGACGACTTGATTCAATACCCGCCCTACCAAAAACCAACCCCACCCGGAGGCCACACAACCCTCAAAGAAGAAGTTACAACCATCAGGAACTATCAACCGGGCTACCAACCTGAACCAAATCCACCAAGCCGCAACCAAACTTATATGTACAACGAGTCCACTACAACCAAGAACATCCACAATGCTTATCCACCTCCACCACCTCCCCCAGAAACCAGAGAGTATATAATCAACAAGGAAACTAATGTGGTTAATAGGACGCAACAGACTCCTATGGCGGATAGAGGGTAAGAATTTCATAATAAAATATTAAAAATTACAATAATTATAAATTGTAGATATCCAGTTTATAATCCACCTACTACTGATTCGAAAAGTTACATACTAAAAGAAACTCATACGACTAACTATCAAAACGGGTACCCGCACAGGCACCAGTCACCTCCTAGAGAAGTGGAAACTTTTTACGGGCAACCACAGGAACCAATTAATATCCAATATTCTTACAAGAGTACTAATACAACTGAGAATAGGTACTAAATTTAAACAAATCAAATTCTCTATAAAACCAAAGTTGAAATATATTATTATTACAATTACAGATTCAAAGGTGGCCATCCAGAAAGCCAGACCTTACTCCCTCGCAAATTCCCAACTACAGACCATCCCGATGGCCCTCCAAAACGCATCGACGATTTAATGGCTTCCATAGGGCACGAACCCCCAAACAGCCCTTTAAATGCTGGATTCAATGCCCATGAGCAAGATTTGGCAAATAAAAGAGTCGTGCAAACTCTAAATAAGCAGCAAAATACTGAAGTTGACGATATGCAGAAAAAGGAGCAGCCTACTAAGAATGTGAGTGGGCCGCCAGTGTATTATCCTCCTGGGCATGAAATGTTTTCTAAAAAAGAAGAAGAAGGTGGTGGTGGTTGGAGGGCTCAAGGTGGTTACGCTAAAGGGTCAGGCAAATACATGTATGAAGCTGAAAGTGGTTCCAAAACGAAAACTAAAAAAGGCATGGCCGTAGTGCCTGTTTGCTTACCTTTATGCTGCGGCTTACCTTGTACAATTATTTAGTTAATATAAAACGAATTCTTATTAATGGTGCCTAATAATGTATATTTAAGTTAGATCTGATTTTATTATTTTTTAATATTTTTGTGCTTTGTTTTTTTGGTGAATATGAGCTTTAATTAATTTGTAATTTTTAATTTAGGCAGCTCAAAATGTATGTACTAATTAATTTCTTGCCGAGAAAAAGTAATTATATTGTAAAACACAAATGTTTGTTTTACTTATTTAGTCAATAATAAGTTGGAATTTAAGTTAGAGAGGCAATAGAATTTTATTCCAGGCTCTCCTAATGCCAATTGGTTTGAGTTTTGACTATTAAAGACTTAAAGTTGAAGTATTATGATGAGTTCCTAACTCTCCTCTTTATCCATTGAAGATTTCATAATTTTCCCCTGTATAGTTTTCCAGACAAAAAAATAGAATGTAAGAGAATGCATTTTTACTTAATTTGGATTTTGCAAGTTGATTTTCATTGATTTTCTATATATTGATGTTTTTCTCTAGAAAAGTTAGAAATTCTAGTATGATGAGCTCCTAACTCTCCCTTCTCTCTCCTGAAAATTTCATAATTCTCCCTTGGATAGTTTTCCAGACAAAAAATAGAATGTAAGAGAATGCATTTTTGCTTTATTAGGATTTTGCAAGTTGATTTTCATTAATTTTCTATATATTGGTATTTTTCTCTAAAAAAGTTAGAAATTTTAGTATGATGAGCTCCTAACTCTCCTTTCTCTCTCCTGAAAATTTCATAATTTTCCCCTGTATAGTTTTCCAGACAAAAAAATAGAATGTAAGAGAATGCATTTTTACTTAATTTGGATTTTGCAAGTTGATTTTCATTGATTTACCATGTTGTTATTTTTCTCTAGAAAAGTTTGAAATTTTAGTATGATGAGCAGCTCCTTATTCTCCTCTTTCTCTCTCGAAAATTTCATTTTCTACATATTAAGTAATACTTCAGTATTCTAAAATTTCATAAGGAACGAACCAAGAATGGAAAAATAATTATGATTTTTCACTTATATTTGCAATTTTTCCATGACTTGTGGTGGAAATGATGTTTCTTACATTTATAGAGAAATCAATTCTCTTTTGATTTAGTGAAAATCAACAATTAAAAACTCTTGGTAAATAGAAAGAAAATGGCAAAAGTTATAAAATGTGACTCAAGTGAAAAGTACGAAATCTATAAGAAGTTTAATGCTAAATAAAATTATTTTATTAAAAAAACACTTACACACTTATTCTAATTTATCATTAAAAAACATATATAATAATGATTTGCACTTTACTTAAACAAAATGATATGCAAATATGAAACATTATCTGCAAAATGATAAAAGGTTATCTTACTTAATAAATATATTATAAAATACTCCTATAACTTTATTTTTTAGTTAGCATTTGGTGATCCAAAAGTGAGGGTGATAAATCTGAAATCCTCCCAAGTAAGTAATTTCAAGTAGGTACATTATGTAAAATGACTTATTTGAAATACTTATAATTTATATAGGCATAGGTACATATAAGCATTCACCTTTCAATGTATTGATTTTAGAAACAAAAATTATGCCTTCCCAATACAAACTTACCTATTTCGACCTGACTGGTCTTGGAGAACCAATCCGGTTCCTTCTCCACTATGGAGGAATTAATTTTGTAGACCAACGAATCACCAAGGACCAGTGGCCCAACTTGAAACCATGTAAGAATTCTAGTATTTTCAATAAATGCCTACTATTATAGTTTCTATTTAGCAACTCCTCTTGGCCAATTACCAATATTAGAAGTAGACGGACGCGTTTTGTACCAGAGTGTAGCTGTAGCTAGATACGTAGCTACTCAAGTGGGCTTAACCGGAAAAACTGATTTGGAAAACTGGGAAATTGACGCAGCAGTTGATACTGTTGAAGATTTCAGAGTCAGTACGTATAAGTGTAATAATAGAAATTATTATAATAAATATTATATTTTTAATAGAAATTGCCGCTTGGTTTTTTGAAGCTAATCCAGCAAAAAAGCAACAACTCAAACAAGCTTTAGACAATGAAGTTTTACCGTTTTTGCTTACAAAATTAGACACTTTTGCCAACAATAATGGAGGATATTTGGCTGCAAACAAGGTACATAATATATGGATTTATAATACATATAATTAATTTATTTTGCTTTAGTTAACTTGGGCAGATTTGTTTTTTGCCGCCATCGTAGACTTTACCACGTACATCTACGGAGCAGATTTTATCGCTAAATACCCAAATTTGGTCAGGGTGAGGAGCAACGTTACTTCTATTCCCGCTATTAGGGCTTGGATTGCTAGACGTCCAAAGGACAATTGGTATTAAATTGTAACTTTATGAAAATATAAAAATTCCTTTATTCTTGGCACTTTTTTTTTGTGTATGTATACACATGGTATGGTATACAGAATCCATGCCTAAAATTCCAGAAAAGACTGCGTTATTCGGGCAAAGAGATTATCGCGTTTATTCTGGTTTTATGAAGGCCGATATTAGTTAGTAGTTTTTAAGTTTAAATTTGGACTTTGATTTTGGAATAAACAAATCCAAGATTTCTGTCATGTACCCCAAACACATGACAGTATGTTGAAATTAAAGCCTTTTAGAGTACCTATATTGAAAAATGCCTGGCCCTTCCACAAGTCCAAAACTACCAAAGAAAGTCAAAACTGCGAGTAGATGTTGTATTTATGATAGAAGTATCATGATGTTAATCAGCTTTAAAAAATCAAAATTTCTTTATTTTTGGATTTTACCTTATGAAATTTTAGTATGTTGAAGCTGAAGCCTTATTTGAAATGTAGAAAAATTCCTGGCCAAACCCAAAATTATAAGGAGAAAATAAAAATGCAAGTAGATGTTTTATTATATTATTAGGGGGCAGCTTTGAAAAGCCAACTTTTCTCTTTATTCTTGGCTTACTTAATTTTTTTGAAATATGATAAATTAGACAATCCAAACCACGTGACATTCAAGATGGCGTGGCAGCCACACACGAGTCAAAAAACACAAAAAAAATACTGATTTCTGTCAGATTTAAGCAATTTGGGGTGATTTATCTATTTTTCAATTTTTCTGAGTGCCTTTTTTCATAAATTTCGGCTCCAAATCTGGGAATAACTTAGTATAGGGAGATCGAGGGATCACAAGTGACTATTAGGATACAAAATCTCCACACAAAAAAAATTGAAATTTCATCGTTTTAGTAGGAAGGTACCTACCTTATGATTTAGATTTTGGAAAACTTTGACAGGTCATAACTTTTTTTCTATTAAAGATAGAAAGCTGAAATTTTCAGCGATTCTTATTCCAGTAGAGGACTGATATCCCTGAAAATTTCAACTCATTTGCACTTATAGTTCCTGAGATAAAATTGTGTTAAGCAATTTGGGGTGATTTATCAATTTTTCAATTTTTCTGAGTGCCTTTTTTCATGGAATTCGGCTTCAAATCTGGGAATAACTTAGTGTATGGAGATCGAGGGATCACAAGTGACCATTAGGATACAAAATCTCCACACAAAAAAATTTGAAATTTCAGTGTTTTAGTAGGAAGGTACCTACCTTATGATTTAGATTTTGGAAAACTTTGACAGGTCATAACTTTTTTTCTATTAAAGATAGAAAGCTGAAATTTTCAGCGATTCTTATTCCAGTAGAGGACTGATATCCCTGAAAATTTCAACTCATTTGCACTTATAGTTCCTGAGATAAAATTGTGTTAAGCAATTTGGGGTGATTTATCAATTTTTCAATTTTTCTGAGTGCCTTTTTTCATAGATTTCGGCTCCAAATCTGGGAATAACTTAGTATAGGGAGATCGAGGGATCACAAGTGACTATTAGGATACAAAATCTCCACACAAAAAAATTTGAAATTTCAGTGTTTTAGTAGGAAGGTACCTACCTTATGATTTAGATTTTGGAAAACTTTGACAGGTGATAACTTTTTTTCTATTATAGATAGAAAGCTGAAATTTTCAGCGATTCTTATTCCAGTAGAGGACTGATATCCCTGAAAATTTCAACTCATTTACACTTATAGTTCCTGAGATAAAATTGTGTTAAGCAATTTGGGGTGATTTATCAATTTTTCAATCTTTCTGAGTGCCTTTTTTCATAGATTTCGGCTCCAAATCTGGGAATAACTTAGTATAAGGAGATCGAGAGATCACAAGTGACCATTAGGACACAAAATCTCCGCACAAAAAAATTTAAAATTTCAAAGTTTTAGTAGGAAGGTACCTACCTTATGATTTAGATTTTGGAAAACTTTGACAGGTCATAATTTTTTTTCTATTATAGATAGAAAGCTGAAAGTTTCAGCGATTCTTATTCCAGTAGAGGGCTGATATCCCTGAAAATTTCAACTCATTTACACTTATAGTTCCTGAGATAAAATTGTGTTAAGCAATTTGGGGTGATTTATCAATTTTTCAATTTTTCTGAGTGCCTTTTTTCATGGATTTCGGCTTCAGATCTGGGAATAACTTAGTGTATGGAGATCGAGAGATCACAAGTGACCATTAGGACACAAAATTTCCACACAAAAAAATTTGAAATTTCAGTGTTTTAGTAGGAAGGTACCTACCTTATGATTTAGATTTTGGAAAACTTTGACAGGTGATAACTTTTTTTCTATTATAGATAGAAAGCTGAAATTTTCAGCGATTCTTATTCCAGTAGAGGGCTGATATCCCTGAAAATTTCAACTCATTTACACTTATAGTTCCTGAGATAAAATTGTGTTAAGCAATTTGGGGTGATTTATCAATTTTTCAATTTTTCTGAGTGCCTTTTTTCATGGATTTCGGCTTCAAATCTGGGAATAACTTAGTATATGGAGATCGAGGGATCACAAGTGACCATTAGGACACAAAATCTCCACACAAAAAAATTTGAAATTTCAGTGTTTTAGTAGGAAGGTACCTACCTTATGATTTAGATTTTGGAAAACTTTGACAGGTCATAACTTTTTTTCTATTAAAGATAGAAAGCTGAAATTTTCAGCGATTCTTATTCCAGTAGAGGACTGATATCCCTGAAAATTTCAACTCATTTGCACTTATAGTTCCTGAGATAAAATTGTGTTAAGCAATTTGGGGTGATTTATCAATTTTTCAATTTTTCTGAGTGCCTTTTTTCATAAATTTCGGCTCCAAATCTGGGAATAACTTAGTGTATGGAGATCGAGGGATCACAAGTGACCATAAGGACACAAAATCTCCACACAAAAAAAAATTGAAATTTCATCGTTTTAGAAGGAAGGTACCTACCTTATGATTTAGATTTTGGAAAACTTTGACAGGTCATAACTTTTTTTCTATTAAAGATAGAAAGCTGAAATTTTCAGCGATTCTTATTCCAGTAGAGGTCTGATATCCCTGAAAATTTCAACTCATTTGCACTTATAGTTCCTGAGATAAAATTGTGTTAAGCACTTTGGGGTGATTTATCAATTTTTCAATTTTTCTGAGTGCCTTTTTTCATGGATTTCGGCTTCAAATCTGGGAATAACTTAGTGTATGGAGATCGAGGGATCACAAGTGACCATTAGGATACAAAATCTCCACACAAAAAAATTTGAAATTTCAGTGTTTTAGTAGGAAGGTACCTACCTTATGATTTAGATTTTGGAAAACTTTGACAGGTCATAACTTTTTTTCTATTAAAGATAGAAAGCTGAAATTTTCAGCGATTCTTATTCCAGTAGAGGACTGATATCCTTGAAAATTTCAACTCATTTACACTTATAGTTCCTGAGATAAAATTGTGTTAAGCAATTTGGGGTGATTTATCAATTTTTCAATTTTTCTGAGTGCCTTTTTTCATAGATTTCGGCTCCAAATCTGGGAATAACTTAGTATAGGGAGATCGAGGGATCACAAGTGACTATTAGGATACAAAATCTCCACACAAAAAAAATTGAAATTTCATCGTTTTAGTAGGAAGGTACCTACCTTATGATTTAGATTTTGGAAAACTTTGACAGCTCATAACTTTTTTTCTATTAAAGATAGAAAGCTGAAATTTTCAGCGATTCTTATTCCAGTAGAGGTCTGATATCCCTGAAAATTTCAACTCATTTGCACTTATAGTTCCTGAGATAAAATTGTGTTAAGCACTTTGGGGTGATTTATCAATTTTTCAATTTTTCTGAGTGCCTTTTTTCATGGATTTCGGCTTCAAATCTGGGAATAACTTAGTATATGGAGATCGAGGGATCACAAGTGACCATTAGGACACAAAATCTCCACACAAAAAAATTTGAAATTTCAGTGTTTTAGTAGGAAGGTACCTACCTTATGATTTAGATTTTGGAAAACTTTGACAGGTGATAACTTTTTTTCTATTATAGATAGAAAGCTGAAATTTTCAGCGATTCTTATTCCAGTAGAGGACTGATATCCCTGAAAATTTCAACTCATTTACACTTATAGTTCCTGAGATAAAATTGTGTTAAGCAATTTGGGGTGATTTATCAATTTTTCAATTTTTCTGAGTGCCTTTTTTCATAGATTTCGGCTCCAAATCTGGGAATAACTTAGTATAGGGAGATCGAGGGATCACAAGTGACTATTAGGATACAAAATCTCCACACAAAAAAAATTGAAATTTCATCGTTTTAGTAGGAAGGTACCTACCTTATGATTTAGATTTTGGAAAACTTTGACAGCTCATAACTTTTTTTCTATTAAAGATAGAAAGCTGAAATTTTCAGCGATTCTTATTCCAGTAGAGGACTGATATCCCTGAAAATTTCAACTCATTTGCACTTATAGTTCCTGAGATAAAATTGTGTTAAGCACTTTGGGGTGATTTATCAATTTTTCAATTTTTCTGAGTGCCTTTTTTCATGGATTTCGGCTTCAAATCTGGGAATAACTTAGTATATGGAGATCGAGGGATCACAAGTGACCATTAGGACACAAAATCTCCACACAAAAAAATTTGAAATTTCAGTGTTTTAGTAGGAAGGTACCTACCTTATGATTTAGATTTTGGAAAACTTTGACAGGTCATAACTTTTTTTCTATTAAAGATAGAAAGCTGAAATTTTCAGCGATTCTTATTCCAGTAGAGGACTGATATCCTTGAAAATTTCAACTCATTTACACTTATAGTTCCTGAGATAAAATTGTGTTAAGCAATTTGGGGTGATTTATCAATTTTTCAATTTTTCTGAGTGCCTTTTTTCATAGATTTCGGCTCCAAATCTGGGAATAACTTAGTATAGGGAGATCGAGGGATCACAAGTGACTATTAGGATACAAAATCTCCACACAAAAAAAATTGAAATTTCATCGTTTTAGTAGGAAGGTACCTA